TAGCTATCAACAAGTGAATCTAAAAATCAAGGGAATACATAATCTGATGAACAGAATGAACTGGAGAATATAATAGAATCAGGGGCATAGGAGGGAATGGGCTGACTATTCTTGGGCGGGGGGAAGGGGTGTGGGGGATGTGGGAAGAGACTGGACAAAAATCGTGCACCTATGTATGAGGACAGTGGGTGGGGAGTGAGGGCTGAGGGTGGGGTGGGAACTGGGAGGAGGGGAGTTATGGGGGAAAAAAGAGAAACAAATGTAATTATCTGAACAAGAGTTATGGGGGAAAAAAGAGAAACAAATGTAATAATCTGAACAATAAAGATTTAATTAAAAAAAATTCCCCAATGAACAGATTAAATATAATAGTGAGGTAAGTGCTTCATATTAGAAATGTGTCATCATCTTGTGTTGAGGTAAAAAAAATAATAAGTTATTGGAAACCAACGGATAAAAAAGCAAACTGTTAGAAGCCAGTGAGTGGAACATCTGGCTCTAAGATTGAAGTTTCTTCTGGGAATAAGCCAGAGGAAATTTAGAGTCAGTGGATAAGACTTAAAAATTTCTACTTGAACATCTCAGGTTTTAGATCAGAAATCAATGGAAGGCCCTAGCCGGTTTGGCTCAGTGGATAGAGCATCGGCCTGTGGACCAAATGGTCCCGGGTTCAATTCCAGTCTAGGGCATGTACCTTGGTTGTAGGCTCTTCCCCAGCCTGGGCCCTGGTAAGGGCTTGGGCAGGAAGCAACCAATCAATGTGTTTCTCTTACATCTATGTTTCTCTCTGTCTTTCCCTCTCTCTTCCACTTTTCCTAAAAATCAATGAAAAAATATCCTCATGTGAACATTAACAAATAAATAAATAAAAATAACTGATGAATTGTTTATTTTTAAAAAAGAAATCAATGGAAGAACAGAATAAGCTTATAATTAAGGGCTAGGTTTTGGTTTTATTGTGAAAACAGGTAAGTCCAGGTAGTATGACATCAAAGGCCACACCCTTCACCAGACAGGCTATCAGGCCTGCCTTAAACCTTAAGTCAGATGTTTTCCTAAGAATGATGCCAAGCTGATGATCCTATGCAGCAAGTACAGTATTGTCCTCATTTCACAAATGAAGAAACAGACACAGAAACTACCCACGATGACAGCATGAGTAGCAAAGCTAGTATACCTATAGTTGGAATATGGGGACAGGGAGTGGAGGGGGGATACAGAGAGCATGATCTTAAGCTGGTATGAATCTGTATGAAAGATGGCCAGAAGGAAACCACTTGGGGAAATAGTTTATACTAGCAGTATAAATTTCTTATGATTTCCAAAGATGACACTCAGATGGCTATTGCATTATCAAAAGTCAGTCAGCAACTCTGGAGAATCCACAAAGCTTAGTAAATGCAAGATTTTAGGGCAGGGGTGGAGAATCTTTTTCTGCCAAGGGCCATTTGGATATTTATAACGTCATTTGCAGGCTATACACAATTAGCAACTTAAAAATTAGCCTATATTTGGCCAAACAATTAACTCACTCCTAGTGCCTGGGCAGGGCCAGAACAATTGATTTCTCTGGCCTTCTATGGCCCACGAGCCAGATATTACACACCCCAGTTTTAAGGGGATGTACTGCATGTGGGCCTTCCTGGGGCTCTAAGGGCACAGGCCTGGGAAGCACCAGCAGCAACAGCTGAGTTCAGAAAATGGATGACGATTATTTAGGTAAAGCTAAAATGGGAACAAAAGGTGAAGTCTCTCCTAGGAGGCAGGAGTTTAAAAGGCTGAAGAAAAGGGGAAGAGGCCACAGCAACACAATTACAGAAATGGTAGAGAAATTGTAAAAAGCAACAGAAAGGAGAAAGGGTGGTGGGCTTTAGAATTTGAGTAGGAGATACAAAATATATAAACCTTCCCTTGAGGAAATAACTATATTGATAACTGAATGGAAACCCTGCACACAAGAAAAAAAAAAGACTATATCCCTTCAAAATGTTATGATTTCATACATCTAAAACAAGTCATCTACTCCATGGACACTTCATTGGTTTCCATTGTCAATACACAGACCACATCTCCATGAGGAATTCCTTGACAATCCATTTAAAACTAAAATTTCCTCCCCAGTACCACTATGCCAGCATTCCCTATCTCCCTGGTCTTCATCATTTTTTGCTAAGTCATTTAAAATACTCTTAATTTACAATTTGGTTTATTGTCATTCTCTTTCCAC